GGAGATGGTCATAGGACCACGAGGAAGGACACAAGATGGGTGGTGGCACCATGGAGATGGTCATAGGACCATGAGGAAGGACACCAGATGGGTGGTGGCACCATGAAGATGGTCATAGGACCATGAGGAAGGACACCAGATGGGTGGTGGCACCATGGAGATGGTCATAGGACCACGAGGAAGGACACCAGATGGGTGGTGGGACCATGGAGATGGTCAAATGACCATGAGGAAGGACGTGAGATGGGTGGTGGGACCATGGAGAAGGTGGTGGGGCCATGGAGATGGTCATAGGACCACGAGGAAGGACACCAGATGGGTGGTGGGACCATGAGAAGGTGGTGGGACCATGGAGATGGTCATAGGACCATGAGGAAGGACACCAGATGGGTGGTGGGACCATGGAGAAGGTGGTAGGACCACGGAAATGGTCATAGGACCATGAAGAAGGACACTAGATGGGTGGTGGGACCACGGAGATGGTCATAGGAACACGAGGAAGGACACAAGATGGGTGGTGGGACCATGGAGAAGGTGGTGGGGCCATGGAGATGGTCATAGGTCCATGAGGAAGGACACCAGATGGGTGGTGGGACCATGAGAAGGTGGTGGGACCATGGAGATGGTCATAGGTCCATGAGGAAGGACATGAGATGGGTGGTGGGACCATGGAGAACGTGGTGGGACCATGGAGATGGTCATAGGTCCATGAGGAAGGACATGAGATGGGTGGTGGGACCATGGAGAAGGTGGTGGGACCATGGAGATGGTCATAGAACCACGAGGAAGGACACCAGATGGGTGGTGGGACCATGAGAAGGTGGTGGGGCCATGGAGAAGGTGGTGGGACCATGGACATGGTCATAGGACCATGAGGAGGGACACAAGATGGGTGGTGGCACCATGGAGATGGTCATAGGACCATGAGGAGGGACGTGAGATGGGTGGTGGGAGATGATGAAGGTCCCCATGGGGGTGAGGAAGAGCATAGAGATCCCCATGGAGATGATGGAGCTCCCCATGGAGATGACGAAGAGGATGGAGCTCCCCATGGGGGTGATGAAGGCCTCCATGAAGATAATGAAGCTCTCCATGAAGCTGATGAAGCTCCCCATGGAGATAATGAAGCTCTCCATGAAGACGACGAGGAAGGACACCAGATGGGTGGTGGGACCATGAGAAGGTGGTGGGACCATGGAGATGGTCATAGGTCCATGAGGAAGGACATGAGATGGGTGGTGGGACCATGGAGAACGTGGTGGGACCATGGAGATGGTCATAGGTCCATGAGGAAGGACATGAGATGGGTGGTGGGACCATGGAGAAGGTGGTGGGACCATGGAGATGGTCATAGAACCACGAGGAAGGACACCAGATGGGTGGTGGGACCATGAGAAGGTGGTGGGGCCATGGAGAAGGTGGTGGGACCATGGACATGGTCATAGGACCATGAGGAGGGACACAAGATGGGTGGTGGCACCATGGAGATGGTCATAGGACCATGAGGAGGGACGTGAGATGGGTGGTGGGAGATGATGAAGGTCCCCATGGGGGAGAGGCTGGAGGTCCCCATGGAGATGATGAAGATCTCCATGGAGGTGACGAAGAGGATGGAGCTCCCCATGGAGATGACGAAGGCCTCCATGAAGGTGATGAAGGCCTCCATGGAGATGATGAAGCTCCCCATGAAGATGATGAAGCTCTCCATGAAGACAATGAAGCTCTCCATGGAGGTGATGAAGATCTCCATGGAGCTGATGAAGAGGATGGAGGTCCCCATGGAGATGACGAAGGCCTCCATGAAGGTGATGAAGGCCTCCATGGAGATGATAATGATCTCCATGAAGATGATGAAGGCCTCCACGAAGACAATGAAGCTCTCCACGGAGGTGACGAAGACCTCCATGGGGATGACGAAGAGGACGGAGGTCCCCATGGAGATGACGAAGAGGATGGAGGTCTCCATGGAGATGACAGAGCTCCCTATGGAGATGATGAAGAGGATGGAGCTCCCCATGGAGATAATAAAGATCTCCATGAAGACGATGAAGGCCTCCATGAAGATAATGAAGCTCTCCATGGAGGTGATGAAGGTCTCCATGGAGATGATGAAGCTCCCCATGGAGATGACGAAGAGGATGGAGCTCCCCATGGAGGTGATGAAGAGGATGGAGCTCCCCATGGAGATGATGGAGCTCCCCATTGAGATGACAAAGAGGATGGAGCTCTCCATGGAGGTGATGAAGACGATGGAGGTCCCCATGGAGATGACGAAGGCCTCCATGAAGATAATGAAGCTCTCCATGAAGGTGATGAAGATCTCCATGGAGCTGATGAAGAGGATGGAAGTCCCCATGGAGATGATGAAGATCCCCATGGAGATGACGAAGAGGATGGAGCTCCCCATGGAGGTGATGAAGCTCTCCATGAAGACGATGAAGGCCTCCATGAAGACAATGAAGCTCTCCATGAAGGTGATGAAGATCTCCATGGAGATGACGAAGAGGCTGGAGGTCCCCATGGAGATGATGAAGATCTCCATGGAGGTGACGAAGAGGATGGAGCTCCCCATGGAGGTGACGAAGGCCTCCATGGAGATAATGAAGGTCTCCATGGAGATGATGATCTCCATGAAGATGATGAAGCTCTCCATGAAGACAATGAAGCTCTCCATGAAGGTGATGAAGATCTCCATGGAGATGACGAAGAGGCTGGAGGTCCCCATGGGGGTGATGAAGAGGATGAAGAGGCCGAAGGCCC